AAATTTTTGGAGCAATGAAGCAGCACAAAGATCTAATCGTGGAATCGTTAGTCCCTTTAATGGCGCGACTCGAGATTTACTACAAATCAATCTAACCAAACTATTACCATAAGTATCAGTGGATTTCAAATATAAACATGCTCTGTATCCATGTCTGCATGCATCACAGAAACCGTGCAATTCTAAAGATATTGAAATAGAAATTAAAAGTTGGCGAGGACTATTTATTTCCTGTAAGCTAGGTATTTGATCTGCTGATGCTTTCCATTTAGTACAAATATCCTGTGGCAAAGATTCGTCCCAAGTCATTTTAGCCGCCCAACATTCTTGTAACAATACTTTAGCATACAACGTTACCGGGCCTATCAAACCAAGAGGATAGAATGTTTTTGACAATTCTGACAAAAGTTTTCGTTTTGTCATAATACACCTAAAGTTTTTTGAATCGGATATTTTTTTATTACACAGTCCAAATTGAAAAGTTGTTTGTAGATAATTTCTAAGACCATTGGATGATTCGAAGCCTATTTTCTTATTTGAAATCCACCTTTTAGTAATAAATTAATCATTTCATCGCGTATTGAAAGTATTTCGTCTACTGATTCTGCTCCAGAAATAAAATCGTCGACATAGAATCACGCAATGAAGCTTACTTGCCCGAGGAAAACTCTTTGCTTCGTCACGAGCTAATTGTTGAATAGTATGAATGGCGAGGTAAGGAGCTGCTGCTGTGCAAAATGTTACAGTATTTAGTTCGAAAGTTCGTATATTACCATTGTGGTACCATAGAATTTTTTGGAATTTACGATCCTCGTGATGAACAAAAATTTGACGATACATTTTTTCAATATCCGCTGTTACGATGTAACGATGTGTACAAAATCTAAGAATTTGTTCAAAAATAGAATTTTGAATTGTCGGGCCAATCATCAGAGTATCATTTAAACAAAGACCTGTTGAAGTTTTTGCTGAGGAATCGAACACGACTCTCACTTTTGTAGTTTCACTTGATTCTCTGATTTCATCGCGGGATCTTACTGGCTCATGGTCAAAATCTTCAATTGTCCAGAAACGTTCTATAAGCTTATCTAATTTGCAGTATTTTGGACATAGACTCAGCGAGAAAAATGAAAAAGGAAGTGTTTCAATAAAGTCGAATTATAATTAGAGTCTCGAAACACACGAGGGTACGGTGCAAAGTGGTATGAACCATACATGTGATACATGCCAAAAGACATTCTCAAACAAGAGTTATCTTAAAAAACACAGCAATTCTGTGCATAATGGTGTCAGACATGCATGCGGCATTTGCGGAAAAGTGTTCAAATGAAAAAGTGATCTCAATAGATACATCAATTCAGTGCACAAGCGACTCGGACATGCATGTAATACTTGCAGAAAGACATTCTCAGAAAAGAGTATCAAAAAACACATCGATTCGGTGCATAATGGTATCAGACATGCGTGCGATATTTGCCAAAAGACATTCTCAGCCAAGAATAATCTCAGAAAACACATCGAATTCACATTCGACTGGAAGCAAAAAAAAAATTTTTTTTTATTTTGTCCGGACCAAACGGAAAAATGATCTATGTACCAAAAAAATAGTCTGTGCAAAATTTTAACTCATATAAATTGAGATAACCCGTGCCGCCAGTCGCTTGAAGGTTTTTGAATTCGATTTAAATTAATTTTTTCCGCTTCTTTATAGCAATATTCAAATGGCTCTGTAGCCGTCAATTTTTAAGAAAATCGGAATCCAAACCCGTCAAATTAAAGGTCTTAAAAAGACCTTTAATTTTCTTAAAAAGACCTTTAATTTTCTTTTTTCAAAATTATGATTGCTTCAAAATTAGAGCCATTTGAATATTGCTAAAAAATGGGAAAAAATCGCAATTTTTCGAGTTTTCTAATAGCTGAGGTTCACTCGGAGAAACACAAATTTTTTCTAAACTCTAGGGTATTTTTTCGTGTGTAATAAGCTAAAAAATGACGTAGGTTGTGACCAGAATATTGCATCCTAGCTCCGTACAGAAGCATTTGAAATATTCAATTTTTTCGTATTTTTTTTTGCTTTCATCCGTCTAATGATCACGCACTTTTCATTGTGAGGACATTCACAAAATACTGCAACATTTTCCAAATACTACGGATGATTAGAAGCATCTCAAGACCTATCTTTTAAGCCGCCTAACGCGCTTAAAGGTGCCTCAGAACTAAATCTACAGCCAAATTAAGAATATAATCATTAACGAAATTGCAAAATAGAATCGCGATTTTGAACTTAACTTTACTAAAGTGTCCTTTAATTTTTACAAATCCCCAAAAAATTTTGAAAATACCATTTTCGACGTATTTTTCGACTAGAAAACCAATGGTGACCTTGGCTTTGACCTTGAACATAACCTCTAAGCTACAACGAACCAAAATTGATTTTTCGTTCGGTGACCCCTATTTTTTATTGCAGATTTGAAAAGAGCGAAAAATTTTACGTTTAAATACATCATCAGTTTTTTTTGTATTTGATTTGGTTTGGGAGGACCTGCGGAAAGACGTTTGGCCAGAAAAGAAACCTCAAAGACCACCAAATAGCGCATCACCCACGCATTAGACCGAAATAAATTTATCAAACGTACGTTCAATTCAGACAGCGTCTTATATATTAGTTGTGAAATTAGGTGACTTATTTAAAAATGTTCATTAACTGTAAAAATTTATTTCCTTCGTATATCATCTCGCTATGGCATACCTAAGAATAATGTTCAAGTTGGGAAAAAAATGAAGATCCCAATTTAATTATTCAATGATAAAAATATGAACTTTCCGATCGGCCTAGTAAAAAAGTTATTTAAATTTACATTTTTAATGCTCGGTCAGTTAAAATCGGGGCGTCGGCATCACCTTAAGTGCTTCTATATTGATATAGAAAACAACGAAGATTTTTTTATAATGTGGAAAATCCTCTCAAAAATGGGCCTGAAGGCCCATGAAATTAAATTAGGGAGTTTCATTATTGGGTACCAAGAGACCCCAATAAAATTTTTTGGAGCAAATCCATGACTCGGAGTTGAGGTGGTCTCCTTGTTAGTATACAGTTTGCTATTAACATCGGTATGTAAAATTATTATTAAATTTATTGCTTTAGTAAACTTTTGAAAACATTTCATGTAGGATTAGCAAAATTCCTACATGAATTCTATAGGACTGCCGTAGAAATTTTGCAGGATCTTGCAGGAAATTTTTTCGAAGAAAGGGTGTAGGAATTTCAATTGTGCATTGCGATTACAGAAAAAGAAATTTTTTATTACTTTTTATTTCAAAGGTAGACAAATTTATCAAAATTAACTGAAATCTTATTTTTAACGCTTACAAAAATAATTTTTTGGGCTTTGTTGGAAAAAACAGGAAATCACAATGGTGTAATTTTTATTTGGTCTCTTGAGACGCAAGCCTATGATTTGGATTTGTCCATGAATTGATTTAGACAAATTTTACGAGTGCCAATTGTGGGCTCTTATACGAAACTGTTAATATTCAAAATGAATCCCATTATACATCGACCGAAATTTATTTTATCTATTAATGTTTCATTAATTTTTTATGTTTTTATAACTTTTTGTAAAAGATCGAATTTTAGACTCATAAAATTTTATGAGTGTTTATAAAAATTTTGGATTTTTTTTAAGGTTTAAAACATCGTATTAAATTTTGGTTTAAAATATCAGCAGGTTTGAACTTTAATGCAATGATATTGAGACACTATTAAACTTTCATAAACTCTTATCTGTAAGAATCCTAAATCTGACCATTTTTGAAAGTTTATAAAACCATATAAAATTATTGAAAAATTGTACTCAAATTAGATTTCCGTCGTAGGTTATAAGACTTCTTAATAACTTTCTAAGTAAACTAAAGCAAATTCATAATGTCATAAAAATTGATAAGTATGAGTTTTTAGCAGCTCCATTGACTGTCATAGTTATTCTTCTTTCTTCCCGTGGTTTTTGAAGCGATATACTAAATTAAACCAAATAAACTAAACTAAACTTTTTATTATTTAACTATGTGCTACTATCAACTGACCATAAATTGTACTAATTGTGCTACACAAGACTCGTATAGTTTTTAGGCATCTTATGTTACACTTTGATCAATGAAATAGCGCTTTTGCTTCTCTTGACCGTCGATTTGATGGATGTTTGGATTATCATTTTGATGAAGAAAAAATTTTTTTTTTGTAAATACCATGTTCCGGTTGAATACTTTAATATGAATTGTTTTTTGTGGTTATATTTAATTGAGAGTAGATCAGTCAAATCTAGTAATTCCCATATTTCAATAGTTTGAAAAGGACGAGAACAATAGTAGTGGTAACTCTGCATAAGAAGCGGGAAATTGCATGATTTATAAATTTTTCAATGTACATTATTCACGCATTAAATTCGTTTAACTTTGCTGTGAAAATTTAAAAATAATTCAATTGATTTAATTTAAAAATGTATACTTTAATTTAAAATGGTTACTTACAGAATGCATTTTCGACACGGTCTCGGTCTCTCGTATGGTAGCAAATGTCATTGACGATAAGATATTAAAAAGTGCTTTTTCAAGTTTACATTTTAGGATAAATATTTACTCACCTTTTGAACAATTATTCAGCTTCTGAAAAATGTATCGTTGAAAAAAATTCCCATAATGATGGAGATTTATGGCATGTTCGGTATTGCGAGCCAATCCTCACGCTCAGCAGATTACCAAATTCCTAGCTAAACGTTACAAAATAATTTCTCATCCTACTGTACAAACGCAGGAAATAAACAAATTCAAATTTATAGACTTATGATTATCGACGGAGTCAGTGTCCTAAATAACATTGCGATTATACACACACACACACACATACATATATATAGTGAATCATAATTCGCGTTGGTGTTTATAACTATATCTATATATATTATATATATACATACATACTTATCTATATATATCATACATATGTAATATACGCGCCTATATCGAGGACAGAACTTAACGGCGGCACTCGACATCATCTAGAATAGATCGTGTGTGTTACTTGTACGTACCGTGCGAGTTACGACGTGCTAGCTCAGTGAGTAGCTTTGCGATTGAAACCCTTGAACGCCGAATCAACAGCTTGAGTCTCGAAAATATAGCAATCATTGTTGCATCATTATCTTTTGGGGATCTAAACATAACCTCAGTTGTAACCTTCACTTTAATGATAAACAAGGAACCGACTAGACATTTGAGTGTTTTAAAGTTTTTCGAATTTCACTCGGTTCAACGAACAACCAAGTTGATAAATTAACATAAAAATACACAATGGCAGCTACCAGGAGATTGCAAAAGGTGAGTGTACCCTTTTAAAAATAACTGCCACGTCTGTGCCGGTTATAACATTATGTTAATGAAGATCTCAACAGTCCAGGATGTACGTCATCTTTGCGTCTATTAGCTTGAACTTTTACGATTATTATCAGTTTTTGACTGATAACATAAATAACCATCTTTTAGATATTCTGAAAACTATGTTGAAGCAATTTTCAATTTATTATTTTTTCTACAAATTATAGGAATTAGGCGATTTGCGAGCTTCGTCAATAAAAAACTTTACTAATATTCAAGTTGATGAGTCCAACATTCTTACCTGGCAAGGACTTATATTACCAGTTAGTATATCTCAGTTCGCTAACATAAAAACACAATTCATTTAATTTCAACAATGAGCCATTTTAAAAAAATTCTTTTTCTATACTTTAATTGAATAATAGGATAATCCTCCATACAACAAAGGAGCATTCAGAATTGAGATTAACTTTCCAGCTGAGTATCCATTCAAACCACCTAGGATAAATTTTAAGACTAAAATTTATCATCCTAATGTTGATGAAAAAGGTCAAGTTTGTTTGCCTATCATCAGTGCTGAACATTGGAAACCCGCCACAAAAACAGATCAAGGTAAATATATTATTGTATTTGCTATAAACAAACAATTTAAATTATATTTTTATATGATTTTACGAAAAATTCAAAATTACTTTCAATTTCAATGCTTCCATTTTATAATGTCAAACAATTACTTAATATTGTGGGGTTTATTTAATTTTTCGTAACCCTTTAAAAAATTTAAAAAAAATTAATTTGTCCTTAATGATTAAATTCAAAAAGTATTCAATCAATTCTCAATCTCAATAAAAAAACTTACATAGATACTATATATTTTTAAAATATATTTCTTGAATAGAAAATAAATAAACACTTTTAAACAATATTATAGGGAATTAATTATTGTTGATTTTTTGTTCTCAGTGATACAAGCTTTAATTGCATTGGTCAATGATCCAGAACCAGAGCATCCGCTTCGAGCAGATCTTGCAGAAGAATTTCAGAGAAACAAAAGCAAATTTATAAAAAATGCAGAGGAGTATACAAAAAAATATGCTGAAAAGCTCCCATAGTCATATATTGCCAACCACTCTATATTTCTACATGATTAACATTAATGGGCTACTGTTCATTAGTGTAATGAGGCTGAGAAAAATGTGTACAGTACTGTTTGACTTTTCAACATGAAGTCAATACATTCAAACAGTACTCAAGTATGCTAAACTCGAACATTGTAGGGATTCAACTTGTGTTGTAATAAACTATTCTGTAATATAAATTGACTGCGGTTCAATGCCAACTCTGTTGCAAGTAAAAGTATGCTATTTCATGGTAATAGTGTACTTCTACTATTCTATCTTGATTGATATCTTCATTAATGTGCTTTGTTTGTATTCATCCTCAATATGTCGTCTAGATAGTTGAAAATAATATGATTGGGTCATAAAAAAGCTGTTTTTAACTTTTTTTTTTTCATGAAATAAACAAAAATGGCATTTCTATAGCTTTATGTATTAACTTAGTTACCCATTTTTAATGCTTTTTTGTGTGAAATGAATTACTGATAACTTAATAATATTGAGGAGTATACAGATTTGATCTATAAATATAACATAATTGTACTTTTAAAATCGTTAAAATAAAGATATTTGCGAAAATGAATTTGAAAAATAGCTCATATAAAAATTGATTTAATTGCTAGATACAAAATCGAACATCACTTATAAGCATATGTTGATAACACAATCTTATAAAAATAAATTGTTTGACAACCTATTAATCACAGATGGATCTTCATCAAATCATCGAATGAAAAATCATCTTGACCATCTTTCAAGTCATAGATTCGATCATGACTTCCCAAGTAGTCAAGTAATTTTTTGAATGGAGAAAATCGTTTAAGTGTACCTGCGTCACCTACAATTATGAGCTTATGTTTGGCCCGAGTCACAGCTACTGTCAAGCGTTGCTGATCTTTAAGAATATCAAATTCCTAAAATAAAAATTTTCCTCGGAATTACTGCCGTTGATGATTTCGGATTAAATATTTTATCATTTAATGTAGATATTTTACCGCAATGTCAGTCTCAGGAGATATACTTTTTGTACAACCATAAATAATAACGCTTTTGTCTCGTCCTTGATATTGATCAACAGTATTTACTTCAATACTATCTAGAAGTAGTGAGCGTAAAAATCGTACTTGAGCTCTGTAAGGTGCAATCACACCAATATCTTTATTATGAATTCCAAGCTGAAAAAATTTAACTGTTAACCTGTCCTTTTTTAAAACTTGCAAATAATTTTATTTAATAATACAAACATCTTGGAGAACGTCTATTAGACGATAAATAATGGAAGCTTCCCATAAATTGCATGTTCTTATTCCAGGTTTATTGGATACAGTTGTATCAAGAACAAGTTGATAAGTTGAAGAAGTGTTTAGCATTATTGCCGAATTTTTGAGTCTCATTGACAATGCTTTTTGAATCCATTTTTCACAAGTTTCAAAATCCTACCAAATAATAGTTTTGTTGAGATAAAAATTAAAATTAAAAATTTTCATAATTCGAAAAGTTGTGAAAAAATAGATTTCGGTTGAATTTATTCAGAAAATATTGAAAAAATATTTGCATATAAAAAAATTATTGTCATTACATCTTGATACTTACAGAAATCTTAGTAACAGGTAAAGTTGCTTTGCCTATATCTTCAGTTCCAACTTTTAATAAATCATGGTAGGTCAATTTATTAGCAACGTCCATGATACAACTATTCATTCTGTACTGCAAGGTCAAAGCCACAGAATTATTATCTGAATCCAAACGAGAAAAAAGTGATTTATTTATCCCCAGTTTTCTGAAAATTTCGATCAAATTGAAAAAATCAGTCAAAAGAGTTACTTAATCTATTTGATTACCTGGCAACATTATTGCGAGCAATCGGCGGTAGTTGTTCAGGATCGCCAACAAGAACAAACTTTGAAGCGCAATAAAGGGGTCTTAAAATAGTCGGTTGCAATACTTGGGTACTTTCATCAATAATACAATAGTCAAATTTTCGTCTTGAAAGATGTGCATGAGTAGCGCCGTAACATGTTACGGCAACAATTTGCTGCGAGGAAAAAGTGTAACAACTATTGTGAGACAAAATGAAAATCGTTGAAAATTGATAGTACTTACCTTACTACAATAAACGGTATGTAAACTTTCCGGGGTATCGCAATGCGCGGTGACATTTTGATCAACCAAATGTTGTATGGCCGGATGCGCTTTTGATACTGAACCAAATCGGATGAAATCAATTTTTCGCTCCAGCAATTTTAATAAGATATTATCTATGGCACTGTTTGTGTGAGCACTGATCAATACCGATTTTCCCAAACGCACTAATAATTCTATCATTGAAACTAAAGTTTGAGTTTTTCCAGTGCCTGGAAAACCTTTAATAAGAATATAATCATCTGCAGTTAATGTCTTGAGAATAGCTTGTTTTTGGTTTTCATTCAATTTTTCGAAAATATCTGCACCAGTTTCCATCGTAAGAGGTGGCATATCACTTTCAAATGATGCGGGACGTCTGAAAAATATTTTCAATGACTATTCTGAGTTTTGAAAAATAATTATGATCGATTTTGTCAGCACATACTTATCGATTACAATATGACGTAATTTTGAACAAATTTCTTGGTCATCTAAAAGTCCTCCAAGTTGTCCCATATTTTGAGTTAACAAAGAAGATGATGAACTTTTGTCAATATGAAAAATATCGTTTTTATATACTTTTGTTATATTCCTAAAAACAAAATTAATGTCACTCAATATCAAAAAATACTTTTTAAAGTGATATTCGATTTACTTACTTTTCACAATGGACGGAAACAGTTGTACCATTAATGTCATCTATAAAACCTGAAACTATATTTATTCTATCATTAGTACTAATAATAACATACTCTTGTTCTCCAAAATCGGATGCATTTAATTCTGATGATTTTTCATAGGATTTGGATCTCTCAAAAATATGTACAAATCTTCCATACTTTTCAGTGACTGATATCAAACTCAAATTGCAGATACAAGAGCCTCTTTTTTCTCTGAAATAAATTTAGCAATTGAATAGGATTCATTAAAACTCAATTAGGTAATGTTTTAATTATATTACCTTTTTGATGGTTTTAAAGTCCAAACATCTTTCCAAGATGTGACTTCTTCATTATCAGTTTTTTCTTCAATTTGCAAAAGTGAAATCCATTTCATAACATAATTCATATGATCTTTTGTCAAATGACTAGTTGCTTGTTCACTCAATGTTTTTAGAGGATGATTTTCAGACATATCATTTTTATCATCTTCAGTTAAGTAAGTACAACATAATACATTATATGGACATTTAGAACAAGAAGGATGATTAATCGGTTTAGGAAACTCCATAGGTTGAACAACATCTTCATCGTTAACTTTTAAAATTATTGGCTCACGAGATAAGTAATATGCCACTGTATTACGTAAAGTAATTAAATCTCTTTGAGCATTAAAACTACCAACAATCTCTCTCATGATATTTTCCCTGTTAATGAATAATTATGAATATTAATTACATATCTATTCAAAAATTTTTCAAAATAGTTTTTTACCTAAGATATAAAAGTAAACCGGAAGTGACTTCACGCCCTGTCATGTTCATCATCATTGTGTATAATATCAACTGTCCTTGATGTTCTCTTGAAAAAGATGATTTTCCCGTTTTGATTTCAAGAGGTAAAATTCTTTGTTCTACAGCAGGATTTAATGGATTTTTAGACTTAGAACTAACTTTTACCGTTAAATCTATTTTTCCCTTCAACCCTAGTGATGGTAACCATACATTTTCTTCGATATCACATATTTGATCAATCTTTCCATCAAAATTTTGATCAGGAGCTGCTGGTTTTGTTCCTGAAATAGTTAAATATAAGTATAAGTAAATAGTAAAAAGTATCGAAATTAAGTTTCTAAATTAAATGGTACCTATAATATATCGTTGAACAAACTTATAAATTTGTGGAACAGCTGGTTTCATCAAGTTTTTGCACTCTCCATAAGAAATTCCACCAGCATACATCATGTCTATTGCATGCTTACTTTTCAGAATTTTTTCTAATAAATCTGAAATTTTTTTCAATTCTGTGATGTTTTGATCCAAGACCTAGAAGAAAAGAATGAAATTAAAGTTTTTTTTAAATTGAAAGTATTTTTATAAAATTACTAGTTCATACAGTTTGAATCAGTTCATGAGTTAAACTTCCTGTAAGCATAAAGTGATTTCCAACTTCATTATAAGGTAATGATTCCATATGCTTGAATTTTTCTTGCAGAGCACTACGTCTATTACACCATAAAGCGCCAACAACTGATGTGCCCGAAATAAGTGTGTCTGGTTGATTGATAATCCAGCCTGAGTTATTATTGACAGTCCAATATTGTGCATCAGGTGATTCTTTTACAGCTTTAATTACTACGGGCTCACCAGGCTCTACTTTGGTGTAACGCCTAAGAATAGAATTTATATACTTTTAAGAAATTAAATTAATAAATATAAAAGATAAGTTAATTCTGTTACCATAATCCAAAACACTTTACAGTGGCTATTAATTCATCTTTGACACCTTTAACAATTAAAGTCATGTCAGTTTTATCCCAGACAATATCAACAATATTACATCTTTGTGGTGTAGTAAAATCTAGAATTTTTTTCGAATCATCAGACCATTCATCTTGAAACAGGTCATCCAAATTTTCAGTTTCCTTCCCATTTTTGTCATAAGACCATTCTTCTTCAAAAAAGTCATCGAATACTTCAAGAGTATTTGTTCCTTGGGTTTCTATTCCACTATCTTTTGTGGCACTAATAATGCTTGCAGAGTCAAGTTTATCATCATTTTTATCATTCTTGCTATTGTTCAAAAGCTCATCAGATTGTTGAACTGACTCTTCTTTAATAGCAGTAAATTCATCAGTTGATTTAATACCAGAAACAAAGGCAGTATTCAATTCCGACTCCTTATTCATTGAATCAAAAAATTCTATCTCGCCTGAATTTTTATCATCATTTGCAAAAGAAATATTGCCGTCAAAAGTTTTCTGAATCTTACGTACATTTTTTGACATATGATCAGAGCGTCTTTTACGTTTTTTTTGAGAATCACAGTCGACAAAAATATCTTCACGTTCTTCGTCACTGTCACTACCGGAAGATTCGATAATTGCTGATGACTGCTTAATGGTATTGGCATTCTGAGAGAAATAAAGGCTCAATTTTTTTTGGCCACGTATTTGTAATGGGGTACGCTAATAAATAAAATAAAAAGTATATCAACATCGATTTTGAGTTCCAAGGTAGTTTAACAATGTTAAAATACCTGTTTCGTTGGTGACACCGCGTTTTTCACATTCTGGTTACCCTTGTTCATTTTTATTATATTGTTGTTACTAAAATTTTTTTAATTAAACATAATCGAAAGTCCTTATTAATTGAAAAGATCAATCCACAGCAGTGGATAGTTACAATTTACAAAGTGCGTCCGTAAGTTGCAGACCGCAACTCGCGGACACTATATTCGCGCCAATTTGCCCTTGCGAGCAGCGGCCGTTGTATTTACATACAACACATATGCTCACAAGTCACACCAACACGTTGAAACACATATGATTTCCGTCATGTGGACTGAGATCGTAATATAGTCTGCTATTTAATATTAAAAAAATACACATGTGTGCCAAAATAAAGTTTAAACGCAGTTGATGAAGATATCGATCAAATTGTTGTTTGTAACCTTATGGGTCAAGTAATGCTGTTGCTTCAATAAAAAAATAAAACATCGAAAATTGTACATTATAGTATTAAACGACTTAATAAATAGTGATTCATGATTGGACTTGGACTTTATGGTTTTTGAGTGAAAAAGAGTTATTTTGAATCTTACACGATTCGTTTGGGTACAATAAACTTTTAAAAAGTGAATTAAAATAAGTGTTCTAGATACTTTTTATAATTAAGATGGATATTAACATCACTAAATTTGTACGTAAGCATTTGGACTTACTTTTTCTTGAGCGGGAGGAAAATCTTATAGCTCTGTTCCAAGATTTATCACCGGCTAATTTATACAAATTGGAACAAAGAGGACAAGCTCTCACTAAATTATCTGTAACTAATATTGCTGTCAAAGGATCAGATCGTTATCAAGTTGATTTAGAACGCGAAGATGGTCTACCCTTAGAGCATGGGTTATCTTCTGGTGATTTAATTATTTGCATCAGATCCAAAGAAAAAGGCCACAGTGTCAAAGGAATTGTTATTGAAGTCGGAGAAACTTCTCTAAGCATTAACACCAATGAAAGTTATGAAGATTTGGCTGAGGAAGAACTTTTTACTATTGTTAAAACTGATTCAGATTTCACATATAAAGCACAGACAAGGTATCACATTTTTTCAAAAAAATTTTTCTGTAAATTTGTAATGTACTAATTCAATCAAATATTCTTTAGAGCGCTAAGTTCCTTAGAAAAAAAAGAAGTATATTCCTCAAGATTTTTGAATTTAGTGAAACTATTATTTAATGAAGATGAAGCAGAAACTCAAGAATTATTAACTCTTGAAGATCCTATTCCAAAGTCATGCTCAGATATAGATGGAAATCTAAAATTTAAAAATGCAAATTTAGCTGAAGATCAGAAGAAAGCAGTATGTTTTACCTTAAAAAGAAGACATTTTGCAATTATTCAAGGACCCCCTGGCACTGGTAAAACAACCACTTTAATAGAAATAATAAGGCAATTGCATGCTGCTGAGAAAAAGGTAATACGAGAGTGTTTTGTTAATTATATAAATTTTCCAAGTTAAACTATTTTGTATTAAATCTTGCAGGTTTTAATATGTGCTCCAACTAATGTGGCAGTTGATAACTTAACAATTCGCCTGGGAGAAACAGAAGCAAAACCTTTGAGATTAGGACATCCTACAAGAATAGCAAAGGATGCTTTAAAATACTCTCTTGATTCATTTTTAGAAAGAGACGATGGTTATAGTATTTTAAGAGATATTAAAAGATCTATAAAAGCATTAGAAACCAGTATAGCGAATACTGGAGCTACTTACAAGTATAGAGAAATTAAGGATTTGAAAAAAGAATTTCGAAAAAGGTTGAAGAGACTAACTTCAGATGTTTTACAAAGATCTTCAGTAAAAAATTCATAGATAATTTCAACCTCTACACTATAAAACTTTCCTTTTAAAGAAAAATCTTTAATTTTTAGGTCATTTTATGCACATTAAATTCTGCTTCTGCAATTGATGGTCAACTTCAAAATATACCTAAAGAGCATTTTGATGTTTTGATTGTTGATGAAGCATCCCAGGCAATGGAAGCTTCCATGTGGATAGCAATTCCAAACGCTCCAAAGCTCGTACTCGCTGGAGATATAAATCAATTGCCTCCAGTAGTAATGTGTCAAAAAGCTGTAGAAGATGGTCTGAATATCAGTCTCATGGAAAGAGCCATTAAAAAACTTGGAAAATATTGTTACATAAGTTTGACAAAGCAATATAGAATGAATGAAAAAATCATGGTATGGTCAAGTACAAAATTTTACGATAATACTTTGATTGCTGATAAGTTAGTGAAAGATCATTTGCTGAAAGATTTACCATTTGTTCAAAACGACAATACTCTTACAAGTAAACTTTTTTTTACAAATTGATAATGGACCATACATTTTTTCGGTTTTTAACTATTTCATTCGTACTTGCCTAGGCGAGGCTGTTGTATATATTGACACTTGTGGTTGCGAATGTGAAGAATACAATACAGGTGTAGAAAAAGCATCAAAAGGAAATCTTGGTGAAGCTGTGATTGTCGATAAAGTGGTTTCTTCATTAATTAAATCCGGTTTACCACACTCAAGTATTGGAGTCATTACACCTTACTCGTTACAGGTGAGATAAAAATATTTTTGAAATATTTCACTAATAATTCTTTTCCAATTGTATTGTCAATTTAAAAAAATTATTAGGTCGATTTTATCGGACGATCATTCAGATCCAGGTCAATTAAGGTTGAAGTAAGCACTGTCGATGGATTTCAAGGCCGTGAAAAAGAAGTAATTATTCTTTCGCTCGTTAGAAGTAACGAGGACCGAGAATTGGGTTTCGTTACCGATTTTCGTCGCCTCAATGTCGCAGTAACGAGAGCGCGCAGATTATTGATAGTGATCGCTGACAGTGAAACAATGGAAAAGGATGAACTTATTGAAAGTTTGTTGAAGCACATTGGAGACAATGGATTGCTGCAAACAGCTGAGGAGTATTTGACTGAAAGTATTGATAAAGAGATTGAAAAAATTGAAAAATCTGCGCAAGATGGTAAGAAGCTGAAAATTAAAAATAACTTTCCCGCGAGCAAAGCTTCGAAGAGAGAGATTAAAAGTGACAAGAACAATTTATCTAGTGCAATTGAAAAAATTAAAATTGATGACACGCTGCAAGGAAATAAAGAAGTTCCAAAATTGGGTAAAAAGACAGAAGATTTGAGTAGTTGCGACAATCGGAAAACTTACAACGTCTTTGAAACCATTGCTGCAGCGGATGGAGTCAATCAAGAAGAAGGTAAAGTTCTATTTATAAACGTGTAACTGAATAATTATGAATTAGTTGAAAAACTTCACTTTGCACTTACTCTTTAAGATGATATCGAGAAGGTAAGTAATGAACTATCAGACGTAAAAATTATCGAAGAGACGTCAGTTGCCTCAAGTATTAGTAAAACCAGTAAAAGCCGAAAAAAGAAAAGTAAAGCAAAAAAATGTAATGATTCTGAAATTGGAAATGAAGTCACTGAGAGCAAAGAGACTGATAATGAATTCGAAAAACTTGTCGCTCAATTTACTGTCAATCAAGATATTTGCGCTTATGATGGATGCAAAATATCAACCAAATTGATAAAACTCGACTGTCAATTTTGCAAAAAAAGATATTGTATCAAGCATGGTAAGAGTAAATTACAAAAGAATCAAGTCCAAATTATTGATAAAATTTTTTTTCAGCAATGCAAGAAATTCACGGTTGTGAAAAGGAAATACGTCAAAAATGTCGCAAAGATTTTCGACATCCAAAGCCTGATCCCTGCACTTCACATGACAAAAATAGGTTTGCTAAAAAATTGAAGGAAATGGAAGATTCAAGAAAAGCAAAAAAAAAGTTAACAAAAAATAAAGGATAATCAAAGGAAAAGTACAATAGTTTTTGTTTTGTCGAACCGACAATTTTTTTTTTGCTTTTTTTTTTATTAAAAATATGTATGTACAAAGTTTGTTTCGATTACGAGCCACCAAATCTTTTTTTTAATATATTTATTATCATGGTAAATTCTTCGAAAACGAATCGATTGGTGAACGTGCGACTGGCTTTCGTTGATAATAATGATTTGTTGAAAAATCATAAATTTTCATTACAGAAAATTAACTAAAAAATTTAGATGTGCCAAACACAAAATAAAAAATATTTTCCCAAAAAACGAAATAAGTTGTAACAAAATGAATAACATATATACTTCAAGTTAATACGTGCAAAGCATCATGAACCGGCCTGGGATAAACAACAAACATTTACAAGCCGGTACGTAACACGTTATTGTTCACGTAGATTCAATAAATTATAATTAATTATGTTTTTATATTATAAGATTTTTTTTCGTAGATTTTTCAAGCTTTTTTTTTAAATTCGTTTTAACCTTCGTTTACTTGAAATTCATCCATTTGAAATTCTTTGTTTAGTGTTTCAAGATCCCTGAAAGAATAACAAAAATTTTAATATTTTCCATCAAATTTCACATCTAATCTTTTAAATGAACTATCAGGATTGTAGGTAAATTTTGTTACCTGTCTTCGATAGCCTTGAGTGCATCATATTTGTGCATCAATGAACAAACGAGTCTTAATGTAGACCAAATTGTGTCAGACATAACTCTCGTTGGAGCACGTTCTCCAGAGGCACCTTTTGCTGCAGCCTGTTGATTCAGTGCTGTTAATAAATGTTCACCAGCTTCTCTGTAATTAAAAATTGTCATTTATATTGAACATAAAGTATAAAATTAAAAATGTATTCTTAATAAATTTGAATTACTTGTAAACATGTAAATTTATGCACGCAATCCCAAGGTTGTATCGAGCTCGTATAAAACCGGGTGACAGTTCGAGTGCTTTGTGATAAGCGTCGATGGCTTCTTCCGATCGTTGGCCATTAGCCAAAATTGCTCCTAATCTGTTCCACAACTTAGGATCCTGCAAAAACCAGACCAATTATTTAAACTATTGCTTTTCATTGATTTTGTAAAATAAAAAATGAATACATACTTCTGGTCTAGCTTGTATAGCAGCTCTAAAACAATCTGCAGCTTTATCATATTCGTTGGCTAAATTGAGAAGAACTCCTAATCCGCACTGAACATCAGGATCTATTGTCCCATGAGGCTGCATGCGAGCAGCCTGTAAGTATAAGTCTTTGACTTCATCACGTTCATCACTGAACATGATTGTAGTAACATCTGGTTGGGAAGGCCGTTGACTTGGTTTTAACGATTTCAAGTGTTTATACTTTTCATTTTTTAATAACCAGTCTTTCAAAGTTAAACAAGCTTGTATTTGATAGGATTCATTTGTATAAGAAACGGCCAATGTGAGTAATGCTGTTAAATTATCCGGCTCAATTGCTAAGCATTTTTTAAGAGCTGCAATGGCAAGTGGGTCTTGTTCATTTTCAGCTTGAGTTTTACCAAGCAGTAGCCATGCTTCACCATTCTCTGGTTCTTGTTTGACACAAGCTTCAAAACAAAGCACAGCACCAGGTAAATCACCCTCAGCTAGTCTTCGTTTTCCTTCTTCAAGGGGATTCGGAATTGATTGCATCGGGTTATCTTCACTGAATGTATATTCTTTAAATGGATCGTAAAATGTATCAGAATCTGTTGACCATGGAATACCAGAAAATTCTTTTTCTGATTTCTCCCATTCCTTCCGAAAATTTGCCCAAAATTCAGGTGTTTCCAAATCATCTATTAGAAATGTACAAATAATATTAATTTGATACAAGTTACACTAGAAGATGATAAAAGTATGTGTTAATTTACAATTAAACAGTTAGAAAGTAAAGATTCTTTAAAGTAAAAAAAATGCTGACTTACCAGGAGGAAACAGATTTTTTTTTTCAAATTCTTCAACCCAACTGCCAGCTACAGCATTTTGTTCATCTACGTCACTCAAGATTTTCTCTGAATCTTTACTCATTAGTTTAGGTTCATTTTCTTCTTTCAATTCTTTTGTCCATTCCTGTACTCTTGCTTCAGCTTCACTCAGAGGTAAATCACCTTCTTGTCTCATAAACTTGATGAATTTAGAATATGCCAAATCAGGATTGCTAGTCATACCTTGCTGTTGATTGTTTACTATTTCAATAGGTGGATGAAAATTAGATGGATCCATAAAACTTTGTGCTGCAGCTCGATTCATGAAAGATTGCTCGATGCTCCTAGCATTTGGACCAACGTCTCCCAAATAACCTTTAGCCCACTCAGGCCCAAAGCCTAATTCATTTGTATCACTAAAAGTTTGTGATACTAATTCCGGCACAGAAGAGTATGTATTCCAAATGTTGTCAGTGTTGTAAAGCTATTAAAATATGAAGTGAAGAAAATTATGAGTTATGATGCCACATGTGTAAGAATTATGTAAGAAAAAAAAGACAAAGATAAGAATGTTTGTTTTTGCGTAAATTGGCTTTTGATTTTTCATCAAGAAACAACTTTACTAATTTTTAAATTGTACTTTATAAGGAACATCATAAATTCATGCAATACTTGGGTGAATCTACTGATATAGTGTCACTTGAGCTAAATTTTTTTAGGCAGTCGATTCATTGTGCTATAGCAATTTTTATTTGATTACCATTAACTTAAAATTTTTTTAATCTGTATAATGAGGATGAATTTTAATTATATAGAGATTAATAAAATAATCTCCCCAAGCTTAGTTTTCAAACTCTGATTATTTTTAATAATACCTTTTGATTAAAAAAAAATATTTTGTATTTCAGTTGACTAGAAACTTTGTGCACTTTTTGTACTAATTGAGAAAATTTTAATGGGAAATTGGGAAAAAATCGAAGTAAAAGAGTAAAATATCGTTAAGATTACTTACTTGAAAGTTACTTCCAGATTCCAAGTATTGATTGGCCCATGTTGGATCTTGAGAAGTATTTTTGGGAGGCTGCGTCAAGTTTTCAGGTTGCTTGTCCAAATCTTGTATTTCTTGCAACAAACTTTCCATCCTAAAAGTTTGTGGGTGCATAGCCGCGGGTTCGTCAAGAAAAGCATGCGCGTAGTGCTCTTCATTGACATCAACAAACTGATTGTTGGACGGGCCGCATTCCTCCCGGACACCCTCTTCTTTGAGTCCATGATCCTTGACGAAATGGGACGTAAGGCGTATGAGAGGATTGGGTCCACCGCAGTCCCCCTCGACTAAATCCCTCATAGACATGGTTGAAATTCGTTACCTGCAACGGATTCAATGCTGTCACTACTGTTTACACGCGCGTCGTGACAAAATGTACAATAGCAGTCGATATGGTTTACGTTGCTGGTATATTATGGGTGACGGTATAATAAATGACAGCTAAGTTTGAAGCGAAATATCGCCGCAGAAATAAACTACAGTTGCAAGTGTGCAGGCAAGCAAGGAAAGATGCATTTACAGGGCCCATCAAGATTCGTGGTCGTCACGTTGTTGTTGTGTTAAACAGGAGCATTGGTATCCAGCGTTAATCGTTGCACGTTGCATGTTTATTATACTACTTGAATCAGCGTATAATTGACATATCCCGAGACATGCAGCAGTCGAACGGCTTAAATACGAGTTGGTATCGTGACTCGCTCATGTAGCTTACACATTTTCATGCGTGTATGTATATCGATATTATACTATAGATACACGAGATTGATATCATGTATACATACTGAAAGCGGAGTTGTTGACGAAGGCGTCGGCGGCGCGTTGGCAGTGAGACCAACAAACGGCAGCGAAGTATTGCAATGCTATAAACACACGCACACGCGCACACACGCGCACACGAGTGTAGATGTATACAACGTTGAACAAAAGTTGCAGACACAGCAAGTAATTTGGTTGGCTGGCACAGGCGACGGCGACGGCGACGGGACGCAAGTCGGAGCAACAAAAGCAACTTTGGTCGGCTCGGGGCGTCAAGGACGCGAAAAATCGTGACAGCGCGGCGAGACTCCGGTCCCGAGAGATCCAAGCGTCCCTCGGGAGAAGCGACGATTGCCTGCCTCGGCTCGTCAGCTCGCGGATCGTTGAATTATCGCTTCGAGCGCGGCGGCGGCGGCCGAGTATGCACGCGTTATATTGGTGTGCAGGCCGATGGTATATTTATGTGCGCCTCGCACAAATACAGAAGCGCGCGTCATGCATACAAACGTTTATCTATACGCTCTGCCGAACTCCGAACTGCCGAGCTGTTGCCTATTATACGTGTGTGCAGACTGAGCAGTCCGACTCCGATACGACTCTATAGTCCGCAGCGCGCACACACACAATCACAGGAGAGAAGCGGTGTTCGCACACGCATACACGCACTCACTCGGAGCAGTCAGAGCCCAATGGAGAACACTGCAAATACGGCGGCGGGGGCGACGGCGGTGCGCATCTTGCGAATCCTTGTGTGTGTGCGTATACGTACCTAATATTGCATGAGCTGTGGCTATATCCGCAACGCAATCCGCTGCATGCGGGCTCGGACTATATAGTCGTGCAGTATATAGACTGGCAAGCGTCAATGCCGCCGATGCATCGCACAGGCATAGTAGTCGCTCGTCGCTCGACTCGAGTTTTACGATTCCACCGCGCTGACTCGGCCGCAGTTTGCAGCAGCAGCAGCAGCAGCCTCGCGAGTTCGTCGCGAAACCGCCTGGTGGTGCATTGACCGCGCAGCAACTTATATACTTGTGCGAGAAACTTTTTCAGCCCAAAACAGCGCGCTGATCGCGAGCTTTGAATCCCGAATGAGCACATCGTACTTCGGTGCTTTGTATATCGACTCTCGCGAAAAGCCGCTTTGTCAACCGAAACTTGGCTGCTCCGTCTTCTATGTAGAATATTCTCAGCTTTCGGATCGTGAATCACTTTCCACAATGCAATATTCACCTATAGCTATTTTTACAATATTGCATTTGTTTTTGTCGATGCAAAACTTGCCAGAAAAGCTTCGACTTTGGTAAAAAATCAAAATGTTTAGAGTATTCCATTCGGTACAAAGACTTTATTTACTTTATTGCTTTAAATTACTAAATATGATGTAGCTATGTATATTCAGTGCACCTGCACCCAATCCAATACGCCATTATTGCAACGCGCAACATTTACAACATTGTGCGAAACCTTAATCTGTTTTCGTGACAATTTTTTTTTTTTTTTTTTTAGTACTCGTGCAAGATAATTTGATTATCGCTCCGAGCAACATATTGATTTTGTTGAAATTATCGTGGCTCGATCGAACTTGGATTAAGAATTGTATGCAATCGCTTGCGATCTCTGCGCCTGTCGCGATTTTTTTCCGGTTCGTTGCTCGATCGTTTTTAAGCTGCGAATTGTTTTTAACTTTACAAATATAATATATGTATAACGCGTACGACAGCTGGACTCGGGATCGAACTCGGGCATTTATTCCCAATACTGCTTCCATTTGGAGTACAATTTCATGGCGATCTGCTCGCTGTCACCTGGGAAAGGGTCGAAGTAATTAGAAAAAAACTTGGGCCGACTTTGCCGAGCGATGGCTTACCGATCGGCTGGGTAGGATACTCCTTGGTAGAGTAGCTGAAGGGCAACTCGACCTCCCGGAAGATGAGCCGTTTGACTTTCTGAGCCGAGAACTTGTCGCCGGTTCGCAGGGCCCGCAGCAGCGCCTCGAGGAAGACGGCCCAGCGCGGCCGGAAGTAGTCCACCACGACGCCCGACCACTGCTTGTTCGCGTAGTCGACGATCTCCCCGTTGGGGCCCCACAGCGTGATCTGATTGCGGGCGTTGAACTCGTGATTGGCGCGCATGTAGGCGTCCGGCGCGGCTTTCCTCGCCTCGTCCAGCCAGCGGCCCAGAAGAAAGTCCGGGCTCGAGGCCAGTATCTCCTCCAGGTCGTCGAACAGCTCCAGCAGCCGACTCGAGTGCTCTCTGCGGACGATAGAAACTCCTTTTATTCGACGGCTCGTTGAACGACTCCTGAAAATAGCTCATCAATTACGCCAATTCCGTGACGTTCTTCGCCTCGAAGGCTTTGACGATGTCTCCGTAAATGAAGTCTGCCGTGATTTGCAGTGACTGTCTCGTTATGTCGACCAGATCGTGCCTGTACAAATCGTTCACGTCCGTCGCGTTGGTGAACAGGACAAAGTTTTCCCAGATCAGTAGAAATTCACGCAAGTCGTACCAGTACTGCGACAAAAATCAACCGAAATAGGAGACTCGAACGATCGGCGCGCACAGCGACTATCTTATGCATACCCAAGTTTTTATATTGAGACTTGGACGCTTCGTTATGACGTAGTGACCTCTGATATTGATTACATTGCTGTAATTGTAAATTCCGAGCCCCAGCCCTTGCCAGGATATCCTCATGATATCGTCGACCCTGCCGTAGCGTCGCTCCGCGTAATCGGCGAACCTGCAATAAATATAGCAACGATATTTGTGGCTCGAGTCCGACAAAAGTGAAAAATAATATATCCACGCCACCAACCACTGATAGAGATTGGCCGGTTCTTTTCTGTAAGCCGTCTCGAGCATGAACTCGTAAATCACGTAATTTTGATTGATACCTTCGGGAGTCAGACCCGTGCCGATCATAGTGCTGTTCTCCATTTTCCTGGCCTCGATAACCCGCTAAAAGTTTGCGTTAACAAATTTACTTTAACTGGTAGTTTAATAAGAGAAAATCGTCATAAAGTTTTCAAGTACCCTATTTAAGATGTCAACAGATCCAAACATGCCAAGAGTGCCGCCGAAATTGTGAAGCATGCACCAGATGAAGGGTTGGCCAAAGTACGAATCCAATTTCTCGTATTGAGGAAATTGCTCGGATTGTAAGTCGAGTATTATCATCCTGCCCTGCAATGTGATTAATGAGTAGAAAAATCGTTATGAGTAGAACAATCGAGTATGGAGCAAAAATGTTGGCTTATAAATTCAATAGTTTTTCTAACAATGTTTTTTAATTATTTACGGTTGGCACTGATGAAAGCAGTGTCTTCACTCTATCTTTGGTCCAGAAGAAACCGCTGTGCACGAATAGCCAGCCTTGCATCAACCTATATTTTTAGTGATTGAATACATTTTTTTTCAATTTACTTAAGGTCTAAATTGAATGGAATAATGAATTACCAGACAGCGTCAGGATCAACCGTAGACATGGCCGAGTAAATTTTTTCGCCGATTGTGTACAAAAATATCGGATCTCGCCAAGCCGGTAAATTTTCATTAAATGGGTCGCAATTGTAGATGTGATTCAGTCCAAATTCTTCTTCGTACTAAGGTATACAGAGCAAAGAACGAATAATAACTATTAATTCAAAAAGCTGTAAAATTTTAATCGCGTAAATAACAATTATAAAAATTACCGTTCTGAGAAATTCTTCCCCGACAACTTGAAATAAAGGGTCGGATGGGTCAAGAAAGTATGGACTGAATCAAAAAAATTGAATTAATCTGTAGATATTTTGTTGCAACTTAAAGCTGTAAATGCATTGATAAGGACTGTACCAGCAATACTGATCTTCAAAATTATTCCAGTTGTCGACGCTGGTTATGTTGGCTTGCGGAAATACTCGAATAAAGTCGTGAGGAACGTGACCAGCGAAAGCCGGAAGTACTGGAATGATGCCTAAGTCTCGCATTCGATTCAGTATGAGGTGCTGCAACCTGATGGTTTGTCTGTGCCAAGAATTCCTTAGTGGACCGCCCCAACCGCGAAAATTGCCCATTCTAGCCCTGTAATTTATGAATTTTCGTCAAGAAAGAGAGGAAAATCATAAAAATGACCGATGAGTGTTACGGACCAAGGTAGAAATGCTGGGCCTGCGAAGTGAGCCTCGATCTCTTCCAAACTCAAGCCCAATTTCAGGTAAACCCTCTCCCAGATGGCCTCTTGAGCGTGAAACGCCAAGGCCAAATTTATGCCGTTTAGCGCCATCCAGTCCAAGTGTTTTTCCCACTGCTTCCACTGCCACCATGGTGAACTGTAGCCCACTGTACAGACATTTTGGTAGTACCTAAAACTGCGAGCAAAAATAACAGAAAGAGATAATTTTTAATTGGTTCGAAACCGCAGTATTTGAAATATAATGAGCAATCAACCGATCGTTTGAAGTGACGATTTCGTCCACGTCGGGCAATATCGACGGGAGCTTTAATTGCGATCCTTCCCAAGATATGTGACACTTGCAGTATTTTTTCAAGTAGTAGTGCAAACCCCATGCCACTGCTACACCACTAGTTCCGACTATTTGAACTTGATTATCGTCGACTTTTTTCAGCTGCAACACCAGCACGCATCGATATCGTGAATGTCATCAATTGGTAAAATTTGATTAATGAAAAGTTGATACAGTACCTCGAAAGTATCTTTTCCTAGCGGACCTATGCTAGTATCGACGAGTACACGAAAAAGCGTTGAATTCTTTTTCAGCACTCGCTGTATCAAAGCTTCTGCCGCGTGTTTCTGAATCTCCACAGGCGTTTTCAAGTGCAAGTGTCCCAATGTTTTTTGAAAATCTACAATTTCGTGACAAAGAACAGACATTTTTACATGGAAAACGGAATCATTGTTGATATTTATGTCGTACTGTCTGTGCCTATCGTGCTCTGTATACTTCCGATAAAAATTAAAATTAACACCTTGGTTAAAATTGAATTTTGATACATTTTTGCGTAAAAAAGCCCAGTCGAACGATGCTGCGTGACAAACTGCGAGGTGTGTATATCATATAAATTGCAGCGACGACTTTTACTCGAGCGAATCGTGACCCGTGGCTATATCTTATCGCAAGCATCATCATTGGCGTGTGCGAATCTTTGTGAAAGCGATTAGCAGCATCAATGGCATCGTTTGAGATCATAATTTCGACATTGAAAAAGCTACTACGAGCTTGGGCCATGTGAGATGATCAGCTAAGTTTGCATTTTTTAAACGAGCTGAGAATTTACAACTATGTTCAAATGATTTAATTGATATTAAAATTCAAAGTGAATATTTCGAACGAGCTATTTCATGGGTTTTTGAGGAGTTATCAAAAGCTATTTTTCACGAGTGTTTGAAATGACATTTTTTCAATCATCTATTTTTCAAAATACGCGACATAACTGACAAAATATTTAACTCAGATCGAGTTTCAAATCATGATTTTACCTTTATCCGTTTCTTCCAGTCCAATCAATTCCTCGTTTTCGTTATCTTTTACCTTGGTATAATCATGACCAATGACAGCATTGCCCATAGTATATTACCACTACAATAGGTATAACGAGCTAACTTTTTTTGCCACTTTTCACTACTGATGCACAAAGAAATTTCGTTGAGTTCTTATTGCAGACAGACAGTTCAGAAGTTTGAAGGCGCTATGAAAAATGAAATGGCAAACAAACAGAGGATGTTCCCTTCTCAACGTATCTTTTTCTCCAGCATCGTTATACAACCTTCGCTAACAATTAACACACTGATAAATTGTATGCTATGCAAACATAGAGCAAAGAAAGACGTGACTTAATGCCAGTGATTTTTTTCATAATCAATAATGCACAATTGTTTTAGTCGTGTCAATCTATCAACAGAAGTCAAAGTTTCGTGTAATGGGTATACGATACAATTGTTGGCATCGTATTTTCCTACATTAGCAAAGTTGAATGACATTATTAAGCACTAAGTCGCTCCTATAGCGTTTCGCGTGCTTACATAATATTTGACAAGTAGATAAGAATTTAGATACCACAGTATCATCGAAAAATTTGATAAACACTACGGCGAAAGTTCGAAGACGAGAAATAATTTGTTCGGCTGCAGTTTGTCATTAACTTTAGTTGAATTTTGCTTAATTATAAAATGGTAAATTGTCTCGATATCGTCAAATAAATAACTGAATCAATGATTCTTGAAACTAAAACTGATTTTTATCTTCGTAGAGTCAACTTACAACTTTTATAATAACGACCGGAACGATCACGGCTCTAAGTTTTGTTTTGTCAAGGAAGAGCAAACGAAAAGAGGAAGGCAGGTTAATTCACGATAATTTTTAAGAGTTTAATATACATTTTTGCGTGTCTCTAAGCAGATGATGAAAAAAGTATGGTTGAAAAAGTATTGTCCTCGTCGGATAAATCATGGAAAAGAGTTGGGAAAGTCAAGGATTTGTTATTTTACCCACTGAAATCGGGAAGAGCTCAATCGGTCACACAGTGCCTTTTCGGAGAGTTTGGTATAAGCGTTGAAGAAGCTGGAAACTTTTGCTTGAAAGATAGGTATAAAAAAGCATATAAATATAGCTGCTTACAGTCATTTACATCAGAAACTTTACAATAACAAATTAACTAACTATTTGAAATAATGCAAAATAATTTTTGTTAGGATGTTTTTAGTTTACAATCATAAAACTGGAGAGTTTAAAACTGGCCGGGATTATCCGAAATTGTTAACTGTAAAATTGCTAGCAGTCAACGAAAAGCGCGCCAAATTAGAAGTTAGTGGAATATCATCGATAGAATTTGATCTTCCAATGGCCACCGATGACACGGTAAAAATTGTTAATTGTTCCATGTGGTGGGGGGAACCAGTCAAATGCATCGATTGTGGATCTGCCGCCAGTTCATGGTTATCAAAGTATGATCGATGTTAGAATTATTATGGAACGTACATTTTAAAAAGTGACAAAAATAACTTTTATCTATCGGCGCAGATTTTTACTCGGATGTGACGAAGGTTTGAGTCTTGGTTTGTGCATATCGAATGGCGATCGACGAAACGTCACCGCTGGAAGCGTTTGGGAAAGACACGCTCAAATTTACAAGACACTGAGGAATGAAGACACGGTATCAAATTTGAACCTTTTCGTCGATGGTATAACTTTATTGAGTTAATTCATAGAGTCTCTTGTGCATTTTAATTAGGGCCTTTTTTCGGATTTAGCCAGTTACATGCTCATGTCGGTGTCATCGGTCGATAATTTGAACGAACGATTGATCAAACCAATTCCAATTTCGCAACTGAGACCAAATATTGTCGTCGACGGATGTCCACCTTTTGCCGAAGACGAATGGGAATGGATAAAAGTAGGCAACGGTGTGATTTTGCGAAATATTAAACCTTGCACTCGGTAAATTTCGAATTTTTCAATTGATAATTTAATTTTGTACATTTACTAAGCAAAGTAAATTACAGATGTACAATGGTACGAGTTGACCCTGAAACGGGTATTCCTGATCCAGAATACGAACCACTAAAAACTTTAAGAACGTACGTAATTTGTTCATCTCATCAACATAGTTTTTAATATTTTAATGTACAACGATAGTTAATCCGCTTAAAATTAATTTAGTTACAGAAAATTGAAAAATTCAGCAATGGACGCTCTCGAAAAACATGCGCCTGCAATCGGTATTTATTGCGGTGCGTATCAAACCGGTTCGGCTTGCATTGGTGATGATGTTTATGCATATACCAAATGAAATTCGAGTGAATGAAAAAGGAATATTATTATGAGGGTAAATTTTTTGAACAACAAAACATGTAACAATTTTAATGATATTTTATTACATTGTAAATTTTCAATGAAAATTTTGTTTGTTTGTGCATTTTGTTGTACAAATAATATGCTGAATGATAAGTACAATTTTTTTATTTACTTGCAGTTGTTTTTACTTATAAAATGAAGTCCGACATCTTCATAATATAATTTAATGTAGATAATTGGCTTACTCATGGATAAGCAGATTATATGTGTAATTTAGAACATTATATAGTTGATTAATTATATAAATTCTAAATACTTAAAATCGATAAAAATCTGATAATATTCTACTTCTAAATTAATTTTACCCGTTTAGTGTTCTACTTGCCCGACAATCAGTTCGTCTTGTTATCTTTAATAAAATCCTTGAGGAAGTCGAAGGAAATAATTGCTGTTCATTTTGTATAATTCAGAAATAAAATTAGAAATTAGTAATACTTATCAGCTACGATCGAAATATATTCTGCAAACTTACATCGAGTACTCATGAAAAGATAGTAAAAGCCTCACCAAAAGTACTTATACCTTCATTTGCGTAACATATAAAGAGTTCCAATTTAAAATGATTAAAAGGTCAATCAACAATAAAAAAATTAGATTTCTGCTAATAGTATTCTAAGTTAACTTATCAATTATTTAAGGCTTGCACACCATTGGCCGTAAAAGGGACATCTATACTTTTATATAATTAAAAATGATTCATTAGAACCAAAGAAAATTCCATCGTCTTCCTCGAACTCTAGGGGTTTCCGCCAGAGGGAAAGAGTAATGACTACCTATATTTGTTACAGGGTTAAAAACTTCCAACGTAATAGAGGAATTCCTTTCCCTAGATACAGTATTTAAATTTCGCCTCAAGGCATGTGTTTCGGGTGTTGGAGCTCCCTTGAGTCGAATTTCTCGTAAATTTATTGCCTCTGCGACAAATCTAATTAGATTTCCCTGCAACACACTATTACAAAAACTCATATGAAGTACTTGAATTTGTTTACAATTCATTAATGAAGTTCCCTGCAGCCTCGGTAGATTTTCCAATCGTAGAAATTTTAAATTTGGCAATTGAGATACAATCTCAAATTTTTCCTCTTCGAAATCGTCCATTTTACGCAATACTAAGTGCTCTAGTTGTGGATTGTTGTTGATTAATAAATGCAAATCATCTAGGGTAATGCTTCCAAAAGTGAGCGACAAGTGCCGCAATGATTTTAGTTTGCGCAAGAAATTGATTTTATCATCTGGAAATATCCCATCGATTTCAACCTGCTCTAACCATGCTGGTAATTGGGCATTATGGTCAAATGTAAAAATAGACCTTCGATCTGCTTGATCCTGTGTATACATTAAAGTGCCCCGCATTGAAAACTCCGTGAGGTTTTCAAATTTGTGCAAGTGCTAAAAAAAGACAAATTAGATTAAATCAATTTATCACATTATTTATTCATCGGCTCAAGTTATATTATCTTTGTATAACTCACTTGGATTATGATTTTCATCCAGAAAAGGTTCACCGTACAATTTACTTTCAAACTTTTTAAATCGCGTGGTAATTTATCGAATACTGTTTGAGCATAGTTGATCCGCCTCAGCTCACCGTTGCCTACATTCCAGGTATAAAATTTCAGGTTTCTCGCTCTTTCTAGTAAATCCAATAATTTTTTGAACTCTATCTCTTTAAATAAGCCTGTGTCATCAAAGTTTTCTAGTAGATTTATCCTTGTAAAATAAAACTTTACTAGCGTATCCGCGGGGACATTGAAATCCCATTGTATTCTTTCCAATTTTCGAGCTTTTCTTCTTAATACTTCGAATAATTCCTGTGCCTTTTCTTCGTTTTCTATGCCTTTTATTGCATGATGAGATCGATTTAAACATATGTGAGTAAGGTACTGTGCACATCTACTGAGGACGAGTATTACGCGGTCTGCCGTCAGTCTTCTCTTTTTCATGAAGTAGTTACATACTTCTTCACATGTCGTATGAGACCATGCAAGTTTTGTCAGATAGCTCCATCGTGTACAAGCTAAAACAAGTTTATTAAATAAATTCGAAACATAATTTAAGTTATCGTAAATTGTCAAATATAGCTTTGAAAACTTTCAGATCAATAATTTATTTGGAAAATGAATAACTTCGAATGTTGTTTCGATCATTTAAAAAGATATATAGAATTGGTCAAATTTTTAAATATGTGATGAATGATTGATGACGTGCAGGCTTCTTCGCCTAATTAAATCAAAAATTAATCGTAAATGTAATATAATCGTCTATCAGAGTAAGAAAATCAAATAAACGTAAGGGTATTTTCTTACTTCTCTCTGCTTTCAAACGTTCTCCAATTGTTAAACTTTCAAATATCTTTATCAAAACATCATCCGGTAACATGTCTGAATATCTTGGCTTTTTCCTAAATCTTCTTAACAATTCCATAATGTCCAAATAGGTATAAAATACTTTGGCTATACATGAAGCTGAAAAACTACGATTTGGATGTAGTTGGTAAATTACCTTCTTGAATGAGGTGTTTATTCTTCAATCGACAACACAGCTTAGAAATTAGTCATTGGTTATTTAACATATTACCTGTTTATACACTCAAACTTAAATAATAGATGGAAAAGGGAAAGTATATCATTATTCAAACAACACATTTCAAATTTTCGAATTTTATTTTTAATCAAAATTACAGTATTCCTAAGAGTGTAAATTTGGTCTGAAAAGTCAATGCGAGTCTGAAAATATGACTTTTAGAAGATTAATTAGAATGTTTCATAAAGCAGTAGTTTTTGTTATTTAGAAATTCCTTTATTGTTTCAGTATTTTTTAACATTAGATTTTTATATTTAACTAAAAATATTTATCGTAGGTATCGAAATTTGAACAATAACTATCATTGTTCTAAAATATTGAGAAAGTTTATAGAACCATCGAAACAGTTATTATTATTACCCAGTTCAAATGAAAAAATCGACTGAACTTAAACTGTCGAACGATATTAAATTGTCGAATTAATCGTCGTTATCATTAAATTTTCTGGCTTTCCTTAAATCAACGATTCAATCGAATTGAAACAATCATGGAACTTTTAGTCAAGATAACTGAAAAGGTTTTAAATTACTAAAATTTCAAACACAGACTGAAAATGACTTTTCCCACACATATATTTTTCCATGGTGGTTATAATGATTAAAAAATGTACTATTACGAATGAAAGTCGCCGAAAAATAATGCTAAATTCAAGATAAAAGATTTAGGCTTGATAGCCACAAGTTTTTGTTCAATAAAAATGAGTTCAAGCGTTACAATGGATTTATATGATAAGCATCTCAGTATCGATTCGAATAATGAAGAGTCTCGGTTTTGTTTTCCACGCAGTGCGAGCGACATTGCGCAATTAATGAATCGCGTTTGCCCGAAAGCGTTAAAAACGATGACTAGAAAAATTCTATTAATTACATATAGCTGAGAGTCCGCCGAAGATCGCGGGTGCACTCATGTCAAATGCGCTTGCTCGTCGTCGCTCGTTGTTTCCTGCGTAAACGACAGCTCGCTTATTATTTACTCGTCAATTATCCATTATCTCTATAGCTCCTACGCTAATCGCGCTCTGACAGAAGACGCGATACTCGTCGATCTACCAGTTATCTCGATGATTCGAGATTCGCGCAGTTGGGATTACGCCATGAAAAGAAGACAATAGCGATTTCTAACGACTTTTGAGTGCAGCGCGTTCGTCGTCGAGCGATGAAAAATGTTTGACCCGCCGAGCGTTCTGTTGAGTTTTTCGAGTGCGGCAACTCTGCTTGCCACTGGCTTCGTCCTTTTCTATTTCTATGCCAAGTATAAACAGTCGTACTGGCGGCGAAGAGGAGTTGACTCGCCACCGGCTCACTGGTTCTTCGGAAATTTCAAAGATGCCATCTGCCTTCGTTCGGCACCTCCGGCTGTCCTCGGTGATATTTACAAATATTACCAAGGTCAATCGGACAAACCGGTAATTGGTCTGTACGTCATGCAAACGCCCTTTTTACTACTTCGCAGTCCAGAAATTATCAAGCAAGTAAGTTGGGAAATCAAAATTTCAATTTTCATCGGCGAGTCCTATTATGTAATTCAATTTTATCACCAACATTACGCAGGTTTTTATAAAAGATTTTCACAATTTTACCGATCGCTACTTTGCGTCGAAGAGAAAAACTGACGTTGTCGGAAGTACTAGCTTGTTTTCCATCGACAATCCAGAATGGAAGTATCTTCGCGTCAAATTGTCACCAGCTTTCACCAGTGGAAAGCAAAAGAAACTTTTCGAGCTTATGGTCGAGAGCGCAGAGAATTTGAATCAGTACATGGCCACAAAAGTTGGTGTCGACAGAGTCGATTTGGAAATTCGCAGAGTAGCTTCCAAGTACACGACCGACGTCATATCTTCTTTGTCTTTTGGCATCAGAACTAATTCTTTTGATGAGCCTGAACCTGAGTTTTTTGTTCGCAGTGAGTCAAATGAAGAAAATGTTCAAATCACCTCATATCTGCAACTTTTCTTTAAGAGCAACGTTTTATTTTTTTTAGGTAGGGATATTTTCAAACAAGATCTCAGCCGCACTATCAATTTGTTTTTTTCCTTTTTCTTTCCAAAGTTAGGCGATTTGTTAGAGACAAAATTTCTTGGCAATCATGAAGATTATTTCCGGAAAATATTTTGGGAGTCCGTGAATGAACGAGAAAAATCGGGTATCAAGCGAGGAGATCTGATCGATTTTTTGGTCGAACTTAAAAATGAACCGCAAGATGCCCAATTTCGTAAATATTGAACTCTCATCAGATTAAGGTTGATCGAATTGTTGAATTTACGTATTATACGCTAAAATAGGTTTTGACGGCGATCAGTTACTGGCGCAATCGGCAATATTTTTCGTCGCCGGTCTCGAAACAAGCGCCATAACCATGACTTTTACCCTCATGGAGTTGGCCAAACATCCAGAGATTCAAAAAAAAGTACGAGACGAGATTCGCGAAAAAATTGGCAAAGCAGCCCTGACGTACGAAATGATATCGCAGATGACCTACCTTCAACAAGTCGTTTCGGAAACCCTGAGGTTGTATGCTCCCGCGCCCCTGCTCGATCGGGTGGCGCTCAACGATTACAAGGTATCTATAGGTGTGACGATCATCCTTCGTTCGGCAATCGACTGTCATGGGCTATTTTTCACAGATACCCGGCACGGACATAGTCATCGAGAAGGGCACAGTGGTTTACACGACACTCAAGGGGGTACACGAGGATCCAGAATTTCACTCAGACCCCATGAAATACGATCCAGATAGGTTCAGTGAGGAACGGAAGGATAACATTCAACCTTGCACATACATGCCATTTGGTGATGGACCGAGAATATGCATAGGTGTGTGGCTGCTCATTAGTACATAGGGTAAATTTAACACAATTGCAATATTACGCTTGATATTTTGTTTATCTTCAGGAATGCGAACGGGACAACTGCAAACCATGGTGGGATTGATCACAATTTTGAGAGAATACGAGGTTTCGCAGAATACCAATTATAAAAATGAAGTGAGCAAACGAGCTATTTTTACGGCACCAGCTGACGGAGTTCATATTTATGTAAAAAAGAATCCAGTTTTGTAACTTGTATCAATGGAAAATTAGTTTTCAATTTATGCTTAGCTGACATATTTTTAAATAAAAGGTTCTAGCTAAGTGTACCATTTAAGTAAACTTGAAAAGAAAAGTTTGACAACGGCTTGATTAAACACAGAGTAGGGGGAAGAAATAATTATTTTTCAAAAAATATCAAAAAGATCAAATTAGGTATATTTCGTCATTCATTGCCGTATTTCTTACAATTGGAAATACTTCAAATACATAGATTATCACGCAAATGATCCTGGATTTCATATTAAACCTGAATTTTAAGTTTCATTTAAAATAGCCGTATTATTATATTATATAGGTTACAATACATAATTATATAATTTAAATTACTTCTACAGCACTGCATAAAAGCAGTGTTGTAAAGTCAGACTTTTGGCACGCGTTTTTATGATATAAGAAGCACATTAATGTACCGCTATCACGAACCACTCGCATACAAAAAGGAAAGTTATATTTGGGAATTTTTACAGTGTTATGAAATAGTCGTCAAGGCTCTTGGAGCCAACGTTCAACTCAGAGCCTAATGTGCGGCGTGCCATAAAATTTAATTCACAGCAGTTTCTTGTATAATAATAATCAATAGAATAAACAGTTGTTCACATCATCTTTAGTTAATTAATGACATTATTCGGCAGATATTTCCGAATTATAGATTCACAATAAAATAACATTCACTTATTATCAACAGACGTTTATGCTTTAAATTACCATCAGAAGCGTTAATATTAAACAATGAATAATAATAAAAATATATTACATATTAACTATGAAGTCTTGGATATTTCACTGTAATAATTGGTTTCAAAATAATCTCAAACGGTTACATCTATTTAGGTATAAGAGCTAAATATTTTTGGAACTCTGGCAAAACACAGTCTCGCGGATTTAATGGATATTCGGACATCAATTGATCATTGAGATGTTGTGGAGGAAAGCACAAGATGCCTTTGCTAGCCATCATTGCCCAATCTACTTGCTGTTCAATTTGTTTCATTTGAATGAAACAATGGGTAATTTTTCGCCCATTTGGACTATCATATGGAGCCCTAGAGTGAAAGATAAATCGTTAGATAATTACGAAGTATTTGAAATAATATTCACCTTTTTCATACTTACTTAGCTTCAACGACAATACCACCACCTGCGAGAATTAATCTTTCAAATTGTTCTCGTTTTTCTTTTTGAGTAATGAGAAGAGCAACCATGTTGCAAAAAGCTCCACCGGGCTGTTTCAGTAGTTTTAATCTCCATCTATACGCTGCACTCATTATCATTTTTTCGCTTTCATTTGATGGCTCCGGGATATTTCCTTGACTTTTTGGGTTTCCCATTTCAAATTCTTCCTCCTGATAAAAGTGAATGCAAATTTTTAAATTTTTGTAATGATAGTAATACAATCCATCAATCTGAAAAAACTCACGTCTACAAAACCGTTCACATTTGCACATGCTTCAATATAAAAGTAATGAAGGACCCACTTGCCAGCGGCTATACTACTGAGTACTTTTTCATTTCTAGCAGGTTTAAAGCATAATAAGTGTGTAGCAGTGGGATCGTAAGACGATTCAGTCGAAACTTCTCCCCCAAGAGAGAGTATTAATTTCTCAGCAGGAGATTTCTCCTACAAAAATAATTATTACAATAAAACTGAAAAAGTATTATGCCAAATCACTTATTACCTTAATACCGGAAAACATAAATTTTCTGTATCGTAGTACAGATTTTTCCATAAGAGATGTATTTTCTTCTTTGGTCACATTCATAGAATTTTCTTCAGGTATTGCAGACTAAAATAAAAATAAATTAGATAATAATTGTAACGAATTAGAAACACTTATTTTACATGCATACATTTTCATTTTCAGCTAATTTGAGTGGGTTTTCCCAGCCAACACTTTCTGGTTGAGATTCCTTCACTGTGCCTGGAACTGGTTTAACTATCGCAAAAGTATTAGATTTTCTATTTTAAAATATTCATCTACACGTACAAAAATTAATTGTTATTAATCAATATTTTAGTTAATTACATTCTTTGCCTGGTACTGGTGTTTTTGCTGTAAGGTTTTCTGCGCTTTCCGTCCCTAGCAAAGATTGTCTGGCCTCCGGTGTATTAGAAGCTCTTGATAACAAATTGTCAAGTTGTGCGAGTTGGCTTTAAAGATATTTATTTATAAATTAGTAGTTAATTACCATGAGTAGCCTTTACTTACAAATTAATGACAGAGTGTTTTGGAGTACTCGTTGGACTTCCATCATCAGAAAATGATAGTCGTCGATTTGTTGACATTTGTGTTGTTGCATGCTCTTTAATTGTATCATCTTCGGTCTGTTTTATTGTTTTTTCTTCAGTTTCATCTTCCGTTACCTACAATAAATGATCAATGTAAAAGATTAGATACTATTGGATACTGATATACACGTAAATATTGTAAAAACCTTTTCATCGTCTAGTCTACCAGTTACAAAATCCCAAGCTTTGCGTTTAACTTCAGACAAAGGCTAGAATGATAAAAAGTTTTAAATATTATTCTCAATCAAAGTTATTAAAATTTTTTAAAATATATTAACGCTAACTGTGCTCCGACGTCTTTTTTGAGGTGGTTCTTCTACCGGAACATCTGGAAAATGATTAATCCATTTGACCCAACCTTTGCGAGTTCTTGGGGATGGATTATCTTTAAATATTTGTCCGTAAGGAGTTTCGGGTGTAGATATATGGAATGGTGATTGAGGCGTTTTATCACTAATGAGGTTGTTCAGTCGTTTATTTATTATTGGAGTTTCACCTGATCCATTCATAAATTGTTCCTTGTTCTAAATTAAGATATTTTTGACGTTAATAAGATTGACAAGAATTATTGAAATATATTAGAGAAATTTTTCAAATAACCATAAATGATTGTCTCTTTGTAATAAGCTCAGGTTCCTCCGAAACATTTGGTTGCTGGTTATCAGGTTCCTCCGAAACATTTGGTTGCTGGTTATCAGCTTCCTCCGAAACATTTGGTTGCTGATTATCAGCTTCCACACTTGTTGTCGGCCGCTCCGGAGCTTAAGATTAACAATTAAATATTCACAATACTTTTTTTGGATACATTTTATTAGATACATTGACGTAATTTAAAAATTGATTATAATTACCCATAGTTTCTCCGACCAAATGAGGCGTTTCGTCGACTAATTTCATTTCAGCAGCACATTCTAAAAGCCAATCTGCAGTTACTGCAGGCAACCTCCATTTGACTGCAGCAATATATTTTTCTCCTGAGGGTTTTGGGCAGATAAGATGTGTACTACTGTAAGTATTTTTTTGCAGATTAGTTCTGCGCGCAAAAGTATCCTGATATTGAGCACCTAATGCTTCTGCTAAACGAGATAAGTATGATCTTTCAGTCCCAGTGTAAGTACTCATTCCTATCACGCAATTAGATAATGGTTTTTCATCGAGTTTGATTGTAATTGGCCTGTGGAAGTATTCAACGTTCACTACTTTTTCGTTGTCAATACAATCTTCCTAAAATAGTTAAAATTTGAGAATGGTATAATATGTTATGAATTTAATTTGGAGAAATAACTAGTACTTACGATGAAAAGTTCCGTAACGATTTCATTAACAGTGTACATCAGCTCTGCCCCAAATTTTGGTACAACTCCGTAATCAGGTATACCAGAGTAATGTTTCTTCACTACTTTACCACCCAATTCTTTGATTGTAGATGTGATTGTCGCAAGCTCTACTCCCTCATACCCAAATATAACAAAAACCAACCCTGCAGACATAATAACTTATTTTTCAAACTTAAATATTATATGTGAATTTTTTTGAGATGAAATAATTGTAAACCTTGAAAAATCATTTCCCCATTTGCAGTATCTTGACTGACAGGTATTGCGCTATCGTCGCGATGATCATTGTTACTTGAAGTGTTATCCCTTCTCATGGACTCTGTCCATCTTTCTGCCACAGATAGATTACTAGACGTATTGTAACCAGAAGATGAAGCTTTTTCCGATTTAGGCAATTTCAAAATTTCACGAAGAGACTCATCATGATCTGTTTTGGTTTTCTGTAGATATTGTTGTACAATTTCAGCGTGTTCATCGTGCTCTGGTTTAACATTGTTGTCATCGTCATTGAATAATGGTGCAGCGGGAATTTTTGGCTTCTGTAATAACTGAAGATTCTGAAAATTCAACATAGTTAGTATATACAGAAAAGTTCGAAGTTCTATGGAAAATTAACAATTACTTTTTTACTTAAAGGAGACGGTGGAGGTTCAGAAACACCAAGTTTTTTTTTATCTTTCATATCAAAAAGATATTTGTCTTCTGGTGCTGGCTGCTTTAATTTCATACACTCTTCTAGCCATTCAACTTGTAGTATATAAGGGCTAAAAAAATCCATTATTAATTTATGAAATAACCATTTTTCTGAAAGTACTTACTATAAATTTTTTGATTTAATAACACGTAAATCTTGATTGGCTTTTATGGGATCACCAACGATTACATGAGTTAAGGCTTCCGATATTTCATCTAGTCTTGTAGCACTGCCTCCATTCAAAATTTTGTTTAGTTTATCTTTATAACTTGATGAAAATCCAGCTAGATATATCTGGAATTATACACATATTTTTATTTGTTCAAAATGCAAAAAGATAAATTTTTTTCATCTAACATTGCAACCATCAAGAAAAGGTCCAGCCTTTTTTGCAAGTGTCACATTTAATCTGTCTATTGTGGTAATATAACTAGCTTGAGGCAAAGAACTTGATTCCGAAGAAAAATTTGATAAATTCATTGTACGGTCATCATGGCTTATTATGGTTCTAGATGCAATAGTTTCATCAACAACATTTTGGTTATTACCACCTATTACACTAATAGTAGAAAAATCAAATGGTTCTTGAGCTATAAAAAATTAAATAAGATAACAATGTGCAAATAAGAAATGTGATCTGTAAAATTATTCATACCTCCTTTTTTTTCAGGAGTTGAGCATGCTTGAGTAGATTTAATCAAATAATTTGAGAAAGGTAGAGCGTATCCTGCATCTAAACTGTCATAAACCCATTTAATCTCAAGACATGGAATACCATTTTGCATAGCATACTTTAATTTGTCACTTAAACCACTGGTTTCTACTGTAATGACTATTTTAACTTTTGTTCCATCTAATATACCCATAAATTCCTGAAAATAATTAAAACTTTCATGATTAAAAAATAAATAACTTCAAAGCAATAATTTATATTTTACTTACGCCACCATTAGTGATTATTAGTCTTTTGACATCTTCTTTATCACGTTTGTTAAGATTTGTAGATGTAACAACAAGATTTAAAAATACAGGACATTTATATTTATCAAACACAGCATCCGATGCAGGTCTCATTGAAGTTAAATTTGTATCCCACACAGATTCTACCCAATCTTGTGTAACAACTTTGATTTTTAATTCAGCAGCTCTCTAGAATTTTATTTTAACAATTCATAACTAATATAGAATTAAGAAATAACTTTTTAACATACTGTTAATTATTTACTTCGTATTTTGCAGAAAAAACATTGTCTGTAACTAAATGGGTTACGCTACCACGCAGTTGCTTTGTGAAAATTCCACTCATGTATTGTACTTTTTTTTGAATTTCATTCTAATAATAAAAACAATATTTAAACATAAATTTTTATCAAAACAATTAGTACATTTCTCAGAATTTTATGTTATAAAATTGTGCTCATTACCTTGATGTTTGCAGAGAAACCAGAAGCGCTGACAACCATCCCTTTCATCGCTGTATTGAATATGACAGAACTAGTTTCAGGTATTGGTTCTCCAGATAAAAAACATGATAACAAACAATGAGCTCCAACAATTCTGTGCATTAACACAATAGTATAATTAAGATAAAAAATATGACTGTTAAGAAAGGATAAAATTAAAAACTAACGTGCACTTGGTAGTTTGTAATTTTTCAAAAACTTCACCATCAAATTTTTCAAATACATAAACATCTTTTTTGTCTGGTCTCATTTTCAAGCATTTTTTTTCCTCTATCCACTCCGGAATTATATCCCAATCTGAGCATTTCTGTTATACGAAATTAGGTTGATTGAATCATTAAAATTATTTTTTTAATGATTAATAAAAAATTTTCAACTAACCCTGAATGCTTCCCACATCTTTTCATCGCATTCCTTCTCATTTTGGCATGTGTCAGGCACGACGAAATAAACGTTCACGTCAAAAGTCGTTTGGTTTGTCGTCGTTTCACCTTCCATGATGATGAGATTCACAATAATATATATACTTTAACGATTTCTCTTGATTTTTAAATTATTTCAACATTAAATAGAACGTTGGTTTTGACTGCATTCGTGTCCAGTTGAATACTCGGCCTTAACCTATATTTACGATAAATAGTCAACGGTTTTATTTATTTTGATTCACGATTTTACATTAAATTAACAGTTGGATTGACAGCAACATCGTTATGTCAAATTCTATTAAACGAGCCAAATAGGTAAACATTCAAGGATCAGGTTTGTTTTATGGTACAAAACTTTACTGCTAATGTTTTCGAACTCTCTTACCCCGCACGAATGGCAATATTTCCCGCGCTCAGAGACCACTCAGAGTAGACTTCAATGATTGCATGGAAGGAAGCGACATCACGTTATCAGGTGGGGATATTTCTGCATTAATGAATGGTAGATACTTGACTGAAGTCTAAGTAGATATCTACCGTATATTGTTTTGAAAGTTTTAATATCGGAAATACAATGTAATCGACGAAAAATAGCGAATTATGATAAGGATTCACTTATTATGACGATGTCAAGTGCATTCAGCGATGCTATAAGGTTTGATGATAGTTTTAGCGTATGCAGGAATCATCATACTTCCGATACCTACAGGAATTATGATTATTGGTGTTAATCGCACAATAACACTCTTTGCATTCTCATTATACGTGATGGATAATTTTGTGAATCATCAAGTTTGTTTTACGTTAATTAATGTTGGCCCTAAGAAGGGCCGATTGTTCGATTGGTTCGAGAGGTTTACTTGGAGCTGGTGTATTTGGTCACGGCCTTGGTGCCTTCAGAGACGGCGTGCTTGGCGAGCTCACCGGGCAACAGTAGGCGGACAGCAGTTTGAATTTCCCGGGAGGTGATGGTCGATCTCTTGTTGTAGTGAGCCAAGCGGGAAGCTTCGGCGGCGATGCGCTCAAAGATGTCATTGACGAAGCTGTTCATGATGCTCATGGCCTTGGAGGACACACCGGTGTCAGGGTGGACCTGCTTCAAGACCTTGTAGATGTAGATGGCATAGCTCTCCTTCCTCCTCTTCTTCTTGCCTTTCTTGTCGCTTTTGGAGATGTTCTTCTGGGCTTTGCCAGACTTCTTGACAGCTTTGCCGCTAGTTTTAGGTGCCATGGCGAGAGTTGGGATCTTGCGAACTCGAGAGAATACGAAAGAATGAGGGGACACGAGTTTGCAGTCTGTATTTATATGAGCGGCTGTGCGGCGCGCGAGCTCAGAACGTGTATAGATCCCCTCCACGAAATGTATGCGTATTTTTTTAACGGCTTTGCTCGCGCGCCGCACAGCCGCTCATATAAATATTCTGAACACCCAGTTCCTGCTTACTTGTGCCGATATCGTAGAGCGCTGCACATCTGCAATACTTATACTGATCATGTCTGGACGTGGTAAAGGTGGTGCCGGTAAAGCCAAGGGCAAGTCAAAGACTCGCTCAACTCGCGCAGGACTTCAATTCCCAGTCGGCAGAATTCATCGTCTGCTCCGCAAAGGAAATTACGCCGAGCGAGTTGGTGCTGGAGCTCCAGTCTACTTGGCCGCCGTCATGGAGTACTTGGCCGCTGAAGTCCTCGAGTTGGCTGGCAATGCCGCTCGTGATAACAAAAAGACCAGGATCATCCCAAGACATCTCCAACTGGCCATCCGTAATGACGAAGAGTTGAACAAACTCTTGTCTGGTGTTACCATTGCCCAGGGTGGAGTATTGCCGAACATTCAAGCTGTTCTCTTACCCAAGAAGACCGAGAAAAAAGCCTAGATTAATGAAAAATGATCATCAGCCCTTTTAAGGGCTACCATAAGCATAATACGTAAGATCAAAAAATTTGTGACAGAGAAAGAGTAGATATTGTAATTTTGAAAATTTATATTCTAGTTTTACACTATAATCAATAAGTAAGCTAACTTCATGTATGAGGCACATTAGCTGCAATGCGTAAACACGTACGGAAAAGTGATTGATTCTTAAAACATTAAACAGAAAAATATTGCACTACGAAAGAGCGTGCAATACTGCTTCGTCAATTGCGAAGACTGCTTAACGTTTTCGAGTGCACGATCGCGCGACATTTGTTAGAGCATGATTGTAATTTTGGAAACGTAGCCAGAAATCTGCAATGGCTAGAAAATTTACAAACGATGCGCTTTTTTGTTTTTGACCCTCAGGAATCCAAATATCATATTATTTTTTATCTCAATTCCCGGCATCAGCGTGAAAAACGAGGGTGAAAGGGTTTATATATCTCCAAAACTAAGCAAGATTCGTGAAAATAGATTACACTAATCGATTCCTCATGAAATTTTATATAGAAATATATTTAAAATTTTTAATGATTCAGTGTAAAATCTTACACAATATCGAAAAATTAGTTAACCGTCGGCCGTGTTGGCTAGCCATGCCCGTTACGCCGTGAACCGCTGTACATGAAAAGTAAAAGTGTATTTCTATGTAAAATTTCACGAGGAATCAATTGGTGTAATAATTTCCCGTATTTTGCTCAGTTTTGGAAATATATGCGAAAAACAAATTTACTCTCATTTTTGACCCTAATGCTGGGGGTTGAGGTAAAAAATAATATCATATTCGGATTCTTGATGGTCAATAACAAAAAAAAGCGCATCGTTGGTATACTTTTTGGACATAGCCGCATGCGTATTAAGGTTTTTACACTATGACGCGGTGTACTGCGTAGCACAGTGGAGATTCGCTTCGCTTTTATATTCGTAAAGCAGCTTCAGAAAAGGCAGCATGTCCTCCTGTGGTGTAACTCTGAATCGTGTTTGGTAGTTCTCTTAGCTTCATCTTTCAAGAGCCAATCACTTTTCCGTGTAGATAAATTCGATTAATTAGTTCCATTATTTAACTATCTTACTGAACTCCCGTTAACTAAAACTTTCGAATAATTTTCTTGAGAGCACCACAGTCATTTTTAAAAAAGAATTCAATTTAAACGATAATTTTTATCCTCAAGTCTCAAAATCACAATTGTTCTTAAACAATTTTGAGCATCTAGTTGAAGAGGCTCATGAAATCACAGCACACAAAGCTGGTGGAGATAAGACATGATCTATCTTACCCGCAAAATGTTTCATAATTACTTTTTCAAATTCTAAGAATACGTGAATATTTTTACAGCAAATTCAAAGTATAGTCTTTTATAAAAGTAAAAAAAAGACATTGTATATAATATTTCAAATGATAGACTGAATATTTTACGATTTAGAATAATCGCTCTCGAGTAATAATACTAGAGATTTGATGTCGCTAACCATGTATATATGACAATAATCTGGAGTGCAAATATAAGAGGCGAAAAAACGAGTTCAGTTATAAGGAGAAAAGGATATATATGACCGACGATTCCCTGTGAAATCGAATGGCCAAAAAAATTTTTTTTCTACAAATATGAAAAACTTTTTGTATTTGATGTCAGATTTGTCTCAAAAAATTTTAGAAAAATTGGGGCCTTCTATGATACTTTTTCAGAGGCCCAAAGTTGGCCATTTTAGGGTTTTTTTGAAATTCATGAAAAATTACAAATATTTAAATAATTCCTGGATCAGGGTAGAATGATTCAAAAGTAAAAGTGCCCAGCAACTTTTTTGTTGGAAATTGTCCAAATTTTCAGAAAAAAAGTATGCCAAAGTGATTAGAGCCACCTAAAGAGGTGTGTATGGGAAAAAATGAAAAAAAAAAAAACATAAAACAAAAAATCTAATCGAGTTCAAACCGGACTTTCATTTCCTAAACCATGTAAAAAGCTTCCCAAAGATGTCAACTAATGCCTGATAAAGTTTTGTAATGGGTCTTAAAGTTTAACGCAATGTAGACAACAATGTGTGTCGAAAAACGTGCAAAAAAGGTCTGAAAATTGCTGTTTTTGGTGATTTTAGGCATTTTAGGCCTATTTTTTACCTTTTTTGCACGTTTTTCGCCACACGTTGTTGTCTACATTGCGTTAAACTTTAAGACCCATTACAATTAGTTTAGTACATTTTTATTGGCATATTAAGGTGTAATACAAGACCCATTACAAAACTTTATCAGTCAGTAGTTGACATCTATGGGAAGCTTTTTACATAGTTTAGGAAATGAATGTCCAGTTCGAACTCGAGTAGATTTCTTGTTTTATGTTTTTTTGGTGGCTCTTAAATCACTGTGGCATACTTTTTTCTGAAAATTTGGCCAATTTCCAACAAAAAAGTTGCTGGGCACTTTTACTTTTGAATCACTCTACCCTGATCCAGGAATTATTTAAATATTTGTGATTTTTCATGAATTTCAAAAAAACCCTAAAATGGCCAACTTTGGGCCTCTGAAAAAGTGTCATAGAAGGCCCCAATTTTTCTAAAATTTTTTTGGGACAAATCTGACATCAAATACAAAAAGTTTTTTATATTCGTAGAAAAAAAATTTTTTTGGCCATTCGATTTCACAGAGAATCGGCCATATAGTAAACTAATTTATTTTATTCGGTTATAATATTCGGAATAATTCAACTATAGCCAATAAAATTTGACAGTTTGAATCTTACATGTGTTTACAATGAATGAATATGAAAATCTATGTATTTTATATTACAATTTTAAACTAGTTTTGCACAATTTCACTTCTTTTTCATTGCCTTATTTAATAGCAAAAAACTGTATGGTCATTAAGGAAATATCGATTTTTTTTTATCTTTTTTTTTATCTTATTTCGTCTTCTACTTACGATATTCGAAGGGGCGTTTGCATTACGTTTGTTTAAACTATTAACGACCAAAGTGATGAAATTTTTCGGTTGCCATCGATACGACCTTTACCGCGTTTTAGACATTGAAAAGATTTCATTTAAATGTAATGTAAAATTTAATACCCTTTCAGAATCCAGACTCAAATTTAAGATTTGAGGCTTAGTTAAAAAGTTATAGTTGTTAAAAGAAAAAAAAAACGTCAAAATTTGTGAAAAGGAATCGTTTTTGATAAATTTTTTCGAACTGAACAAGGCCAAAACGTAATATTTTTGTGCCTGAATACATGGCTTTCTCAATATTTTCCTTTAAAAGAGTTGAGTTTGGGCCTGGAGAGTATTTGTTACAAATGTCTAGTGCTCTGTTACATATTCACAGCAAATTTCATGAAGATCGGATGAAAATTGACAAAGTCACATCGAAAAAACACAATTTTCGGAATTAAAAATATTCCATTTTTCGCAAAAATAGGCCAAGCAACGCGTACGAAAACGAATTAGGAAAAATCATAATATTTTTGTACCTGAATTCATGG